GATGGTTAGAACATTGCTTGTAGTTTTGATGGGAAATCTCAGGATGAAACCGGAAGATCCATAGATTGTGCACTCATCGATTCGAAGATGATTAGAATGAACTTTTATCCGATATGTCCTAATCTGGATCTTACAGTAGGAATAGATCGTCATTCCGACATGGGAACTCTTACGGTTTTATTACAAGATAAAATTGGTGGTTTATATGTAAAATTCGAAGAAGATATGAGTTCAGAAAAGAAGGGAGAATGGGTGGAGATCCCTCCTACTCCTGGTGCCTTGGTCATCAATATTGGCGACATGTTACAGGTACTTATTTAATATCATCTTTTGGGTGTGATTATATCAACTAATTAAATTAAGGGTAAAGTACACAAATCAACTTAACTGAACTCCGAATTCAAATAAACTCAAACTCTAAACCTAATAAAATTTTCCCTAATTATGTATTTCCTTTGTAGGTATTAAGCAATGGAAGGTATAAAAGTACAGAACATAGAGTTCGTACAACGAATACAAGGTCAAGGGTTTCAATACCGATATTTACGACTCCAAATCCAACGGAGAAGATTGCACCATTACCTCAATTGGTGGAGAAAGATGGAATTGTTCATTATAGAGAGTTTTTGTTCGTTGATTAAATGAACAACTTTATGAGAAAACATCATGGTGGTAAGAAATTGGCCGATTTCGCAAAAATTATCGATTGTTAATCGATATCTATAAGATTAAAACACGATTATTTTAAAAAATACCAATAGATTAGAGGGTGAATTATTTGCTCTGAGATACTTTAAGTAGTTGATTTTGTGTGTAAATGTGAAGTTACATGGACAACATTAATTATCTATAATACATACAATGTACGAATTTGACGAATTTTTTGAATCGAAAAGAATGTTTTTTATATAATACAATCAATTGGTTTAGTGAAACGATATATTAAATCTCTCAAATAAATTAATTTTTTTTAATTTTAGCGTTATGGATACAACAAATAAAGTTAAAAGTTTGTAATAGATCTTTTTTTCCCCTCGAGAAACGAAATTATTTTATTATCATCCTCAAGCCACACAAGGACGATAGCCGAGATAGGAATCTCGTTAAAATACCTCCCTAAACCTAAATGAGAGAAAAAGAGTGTCCTGACCTAACCCACAATGAATCAAATACACACATGAATGATTAATAAAGATTAAGAGTTGTACCCAACTGGAAGTTATAAGTACGAACCCTAACAACAGACAAGATTCTGCAGCAAGGCTAGTTCACAACCACAACCACAAAAATGCCACATCAGTGAGCCCCTCAATGAGCAACTCTCGAACATCTTATGCATCAAAGAGGATCAGTTGGCTTGAACATAGCGCCACCCGGCTCTGCAAAACTTGTTCACAGCACGGAGAATATTGCAAGACACCATCAACTAGTTACAGGAACTTTCATCCGTACAAAAGGGAAGACTCCTCGGGCACCTTCTTGAGCTAGGTCGTGTGCTTCTATATTTCTCTCTCTATGAGCAAAAGAAACCTTCCAGGACCGACTTAAACAACTCGCCCTACATTTACCGACTAAACCTTCAAAAGGCTGTGGTGCGCTACTGGGGTTCTCATCCCACCTGGAAGAGGAGAATAATTGGCACGCTTCAAGTATGGCAATCAGCTCAGCACTTAAGAAATCCGAAATTTCGATATTTCTATAAAATTGAATGAGTGTCTCCCCCATGTGGTCCCGGAGAATTCCTCCAATTCCAGCTTCGCCAACGCTGCCATGAACTGCCGCTGCCGCATCCACATTGTATTTCAATTTACCTAATGAAGGCGCAATCCAAGAATCATTTGTTGGTCTTCTCTACTGGTGCAAATTAAAAGATATTGCAGATGGGAATCTTGTAAAGTCATTGAGAGAAATAATCGCCTCCGGCCAATTCTCAGGGTCACTAAATCCACGATACTCTTTACCTCCCAAGCTTTGTTGTTGGATATCACCTCGTTGCGAGTCAACCAAAGGGACCGAACGATGCCTAAAAACGCTAACTGCCATAGAGGATTCACCGACAGTTTTGGCGGCAATGATTCCCATATTAGGAGAAGATTTCTCAAAGCTCTCGGCATAACTAGATTAACACTCTAACATTTGCACCACTCCTGCCAGACAATCCATGATACCTCTCATTAACAAAAATGATGGTCTGATGTTTCTTTTACATTGATGGGGGGACTTAACTGATCACAATTTAATTTTAGGTCCTCAAAATTTAAAATATAACAAGTTCAAGGTACCTTACGTAATTTTCCCTTTCTCGTAAAACCCCCCCGTTAAAACATGCCCAAGAACAAACACGCCGATTACTCCATTTTCTGGAAAAATGGAGATCAAAGATAATCCATCTCCTCAAGGTACTCAATTTCTCGCTTTGTTTTTTTTTAAAAATTATTTACTACTTTTAAGCAAATTCGTTTTATTTTTATTTAATTACAGGTGAAATTGCTGGGATTTTGATTGAATTCTTGGAGGTAGCTATCACTTCAGTTGTTTCCCTCAAAGGAATTTATCCGCCCGGTATATTGTATTACTTCTTTTATTTCTTTGTAGAATTTATGGGTTTTCATATGAATTTCACTCTCCACCAAATTCCGCTGATAAATTTGTGTTGAGATTATATTTAAAAAATTGGGAATTCTCTAGTTCAAGATTACAGTGAATGGGTTTTTTATTAATTGGCAGAACAAAAGTTGGTGCAGTTGGTAGGTTTAGCATTTATCAACAATTTGATCTTTATGCTATTATGAATTTTGCTCTCCATGCTCAAAGTTGCTCTTTTGAGTTTAAATTTACTTCATTTAATATTTATGTTATTCGGATTTGAGTGTGAGTTTTGATGTGATGATTTGTCTTTATTATTAAGTTAATATTATGTACTTTATCCATTACTTGTATTGTAGATTTTGAAAGTTACACTTGGAGGAACTGTATAGCATGATAGTGGTTGAATTTAAAACTAGCCTCGATGGTGTTACCTGGTTGAAAATATACACATTTGGTGTCTAGATTTATTTTTACATTAGTTTCTTGTCTTTAACTCGTGTTGGATGCGTTGTTCAAGGTACTTTCGAGAGGAGGAAGTATATGAATGTCGTCGTACAGAGGGCACGCCATCCTCAGCTAAGAGAATACATCCATTCCGCTGTTTCAGGACTTCTTCCTTTTGTCCAAAAGGTTTGTTTTATTCCTTAAATGTTCAAGTAGTGTTTGTTAATGTCTTGGGGTGTTTGCAATGTTTTTGCAATGATCTGATCTATTTAGAGTTTTGCCAAGTGCAATGCGCCCATGTGTGTCGTATGCTGCATATCACATTCTAGTGTTGCAATGATGTTCTTTGCAGTGTCCCTCATGTTGATTATATGAAGAGAGATTTACTACTTTAAGAGGGATTATTGATTAGGTTTTATTAACTTTGTGAGGGCAAAAACAAACCCGAAATTTTGCAGTTATCTGTTCCAAACAAACATTAATAAAGAGATTTGAGATTAGATTGTTTAACTCGATGATTCAAAAGCCAGCATCACCTATTATGATTTTTTTTTTGGAAAGGTAATGAGTTTTATTGATACCAATGAAAAGCATGCATTGATAATCACCTATTATGAATAAAACCGCAACTCGTTCAACTCAATGCAAAAGATGCATGAACATATACTTTTGCTGTTTAAATTCTGCAAATATGTTTTGTAGGAAGGAAATCTCCATATTATCATATCATCTTTGAACTCGGATAGTGAAGTATATGTAATTTCTTTATAGCTATGTTCCTCGAACGCTTCATTTTTCTTGAAGTATCCATTTCAAATATATATTTGTATCTGACACTCGCACCTATGTCCAATTAACATTAGTTTATAGCTATAGAACTAAGGACTAGCATGAATCTTTGTTACATGGAGAGAATTTTCTCCGATTTCTGTTTTACATCATCAGAGGTAGTTTATTTGTTGCTGTCATCGATCGTATTGAATTCTCTGTGCAGTCCTGGAAATGCTTTCTGATGAAATATTGCTTTTACATTAATACGGGAAACTTACTTGAAATGCTCATCTTTGTAATCTAGGGTTTGGTTGAGAGAGTTGCTGTTATATTTTACAACACGGACAACATTCCCATCGAGAGGTTTATTTTCAAACTAACAGTTAATCAATCTTTCGGCTCGCATGTGGAAGAAAGCGATCTAGAATTCTCTCTTCGATCATTCTTGATCAAACTTTCGGTTTCCCGGCCCCTCACAACAGTTCTTCCCCGCGGTAAGTTTAACTAAGCATAGCATATCAAAGTTTAACATGCTTATTCGGTCTATGCGATAATATATAGATTCCTGTTATCTAGTAGGAGCTATCTGTGTTGGTATTTTACAGATTGCAAGTGGGAGATCACGGCTTACTTCCGCGCACTCCCTCAGGTTAGTGCAAGCAAGGATGCAGAGATGTGGATCCCAACTGACACCAAACAGTGGCAACAACCTCCATTAATAACTCCGATCAAGTCGATGAACAGTGAACCTCTGGGTTTGCAGTTATACTTGGAACACCCTAGCCCATCTGAACTGTTGTCTGGGTAAATATGGTGTGAGTCTGAGACATTATACTTCTCTATTTGTGCCTGATGTTGGAGACAATTTGAACATAATCAAGCTCATCAATTTTGGATTGAGAAGCTGATCTCAAACTTTTGGAATGGGGAAGCAAAAAAAAACATGGCATATAAGAATGGAAATTGGGTGGACAACATGTTATATTTAAGAGATTAGGCTGCAAATACATAGTGTTAGATGAATATTCATCGACCGATTTACATGTGTATTTGATTATGTTATTTGTATTCGATGAATATTCATCGACAGATTTACATGTGTATTTGATTATGTTATTTTGACTCTTCATTTGAGATATTCAATTACTCTTGCAAGTTTCTTGGGCGTTAAGATTAGTCAAGTTGCTTAAGCTCGATTCAACAAAGAAAGAAATGAATTTTTTTCGATCGAATTTGAGTAACTAGTATAAATATCTCACTTACATCCCGACTCAAATATGAGAGAGAGGGAACAGAACTATTAGAATTCGAACCCCAAATCAAGACCAAGTCATAAAAAGAACACTCAAGTTATTAAAATCAAATGATTCCTATTTCTCCATTTCTTGCCTGAAAAACTCAAACATGGAGAAAAACTACATATAGAATTGAGGGAGGACAGACAACGTACTCGTTCGGTTCCCAAGGGGCCGGTATTTGGCAAAAGGCTACAAACCACCTAGTCAAGATCTTGCAAACCGAGCAGGATCAACATAGTTGAGGACAACGGACATATGAAGTTACAACAGGGATTCCTGTGGACATGAAAACATATCAGAAGTCAAAAGACACGGTAAAAAAGTCGAGAAATTAGTATGACTTGTTCTCAAGATGGGTTAAAGTCTATATTGCTCCGACATTTCATTTTTTATTGAAGAATTTGTTTCCGACTTATAGGTACGAGAATATGACTTTCAAAGATTCTCCATATACATGAAAAGCTTAGAAAAATACGAACAAAACATATATGTATCCGGCACTCATATCCAATTCCGAGCAACATACGTAAAATATGGGGTTACGCTGTATGACGACATTCGAAGAACCAAACAATTGATTGGTAATCTCCGTCTCAGTAGGGGTATGACATTAAAGAGAATCTCAACTCAAAGAAAGGGTGAGGTACCAATGTCGTCAACGAAAAGTGCATTTTATGAGATAAATTATAATTGAAACACATTGAATCAATGGACAATGAGTTATGGGGAAAAAAATCCCAGAATACCAAACAGTGCTACTACTTCGATCAACATCCAATGCTCATAACTATTATGTCATAATAACGCAATCAGGTCGATTCAAAACCAGTTTACACTAATCAGTAAGTTCAATAAAAACAAGGGATAAATGCAGTAAACTTCTCATGGTATTAGTATTGATTGCACCATAGATGCTATGAACATGAAAACTAAATTGCACTTCGATTAATGCTTGTGTAAGAGTAATGAAACATGACCAAGACGTACAGTTACAGTTTGTCAACCGTTGACTGGCCTGTCCCGGTTCCGTTAGCCTTAATTCCATGTTATTGTCATGAGTTGCTGTCCAATCGGGTTCATACGCTTCGAGAAAACCAATCTTTGCCTTATTAGGTAGATCGTGGGGATGAACAAACGGCACCCCATGAGGCCATCCGATTTCCATTCTGATATTGGCACAAGGGCTATCAAGTCCATGAATGTGGTTCTCGCACTCTTTTAGGCTACAAAACCTTAGTTTGATGCCCTTCTTATCTGCAATATCCTGAACCCTTTCCTTAAGCACTCTTTGTGCCTCGAGACGTAATCTCTTGGAAGGAGGCAGAGGTTTGCATCGTGTATTGCTCTTCCGTCTTCTCATCAAGGGCTTCATAGATCCTATACCAGCATTTCATTCATCCAAGGACCTGTTGTTAAAAGCTTCCCACTAAGGCTATTCGGACAAAAGAATAACACGGATAAGCAGACATCAAGATAGCTTCGCAAACCAAATAGACAAAAGTATCATTTGGGTGAAACCGTTAAAAACCCCATCATCTCATCTTTTGACTTTCGAGTAAAAATTATGGATTCAACAGTCTAGAATATACCTAGTAGACAAATTTAAAAATAATAAGAAGTTCAAGCATTTCAATCCACTCTTAAGGATATCTATCGCGATAAACTATCGATATAATAGTCCGCTAGCCTAGTTGGGGAGGGTAAAAGGATCACAAGGAGATTTGATCAATAAAATCTGAACAAATGCATATAGGTCACAGCATTGTTTCTGACACTGACATACCTTAATACTTCTCGGTGAGGGAACTAAATTTTCAGTGAGGATTGACTGCTTATAACTACAAAAAATAATGCAGAACGAATTAAGAAATACTGCTTACCGTCTTGAACTGTTGGGAAACTGAAACTCTGGAAAGCGTTTCGATTAAAGAGCTGATCTGTAGGATGTGATCTCTGCATGAAGTCATCCACCGGTATAGGAAGCTGGAACTGAGCTTCAACCCCATGACCAGCAGCTCTCATCTCTGAACAACTGAGACTTGTCATAGATTTTGGCATGAGCTTAAAGACCAATGAGCATCTTCCATATATGTTACCCGGCATATTATTATTCTCGGTTTGATGGAGTCCAGGATTTACGTAACCTGCAGTTGCTTGGTAAAGTGCAAGTCCAGGATATACAACAGCTTCTTGGGGACCAAGGTCCCAATCAACGAGAATCCACTGACCATGAAAATCCCGTACATGAAAACCCGCCTTATCAGGCTTAACAATGGATATTAAGCTTTTATCGACCTGGTGCTCATGGTCAGGGAACATGATCAATTGACTATCATCCTGTGTTGTTAAATTGTGGTTTTGTGCCCCAGGAAACGAAGGCCTTCCATGACAGCACACGGATAATACTGAAGAAGATATTTCCCGGCTTCTTAAGGGTACATTATCGAGTATTTCTGTAAAAGGAGAGCTACGCAAGTTCATGTAATAGCTGATCGCATCCAGTACATCTCGAGCTGCCTTACCAAGCAAGCCAAATATGTCAGGCAAACCACCTGGGGGAAACTCCATTCCAGAGCTGGGCTCTGCAGGAGTTATGCTAGGTCGGTAATCATATGTTTCTAGCCATTGTTGGGGATCAGCATAGTAACCAGTTGTTTTGCACCACTCACAAGAATCATTTGCGTGAATCAACTCCGAGGATGGGTATGCTTCTTTTTGTTGGAAGTAAAGGTGGGCAGAATCTAAACCGGATCTCAAAAGAGCTCCATCACTTGTCGGAAACTGAATGATGGCAGCCGAAAATTGAGCAAGAGATTGCGATAAAGTTGAGACTGATAACTTGTAAGAGTCTGAAGGAAGGCCTTCAGAAGGTACAAGATCGGTCAGCTTCACACGACCCAGAGATGGCAGGCCATTGCCTGCCATTAAAATCGCTCAGCTCACCAGTTATGTAAGTTTCAACAAATAGCAATGACCTATCAACAATAAAAATCAAAATCAGCATAATTCAAAGGCCTTAAGACATTAACCATCATCCGTCAAACAGGAAATAAAAAGTGAATAAGACAATTTTAACCATCATAAAGCTAAACATTTTAAGACTGAAGAGAAAGATACAGCACCACAAACAATTAGAAGCACCGAAAGTTATTCCAGACAGTTCAGCATTGGCAAAAATAGTCAACTAAAAGCATTTCTTAGACTGCATACCCCATTTAATCGGAAAAAAAAGCTGTGGACTCGATGTCCTAGGAAGGATGAAAATTGGCTGTTGAAATAATATCCAAAGTGAACAAGCACAATGATTAAAAAAAAATCACATATAACAACTTCCAACACCGGTTGAAACCATTGCTTCCTACAAGAAGGCTGAAGAAACAAAAACAGTCAAAGTATCCAAAAGATGAATATAGAGCATGAAAATGCTTTACTCATTTCAAAATTTCATAGTGAATAATCAATGGAAACTATATTGACATAGATTTCCGCAATTGCAGCTACAATAATCCAAGTTAATTTTTATACCAAATCGCAGGATAAGTTTCATAATTAATTTTAGAACATTGCAAAAATTTCACTTCTATGAACTTAATTATACATCTAAAATTAAAACCGATTCCCAAAGGTCTCAAGTTTGAGCACCAGACACTGCAAGGATGTTGAACTTTCATTGTCAAATTGTTGATAATCTTTAGAATAGATACTATCTTGTAATCACCCTATATCAATAATAATAAAAAAAATCCTCAATTACATTTACAATGAAAGGCCGGCAAAAGAGAAATGGACTTGCATTGGAATTTAAAATTTTATAATTAAAGGGAAAACAAAATAAAACCCAATTCATAAAACCAACCAAAAATTAAAAGAGATAAATAAGCATCAAAGACCAAGCCACGAAAATTACACTTCCCAATTTAGGGGAAAATAAAGTTCTCGCCTTTCAACGATCGAAGCGAGGTAGTTAGTCGAAAGCTGAAATAGCTAAAACTGTGACTGTCACGCTACGAAAGTGGGTTAGGGAAGATTGAATTTTCTCGGGAAAACGGCAGCAAATTGCCAGATTCTTTCGTTCGTCAATTGAAGATGTTCATCATCGGCCTTTCTTTGTTAGATTTGGGCTTAGAAGAGATTATTCAGCTAGTTTACAAGCACATTTTTTTGGGGTTATTAGTCCATATATTATTATATTAAGGGTAAACTACATTTGATACCACCAAACTTTAGACATTACATCGTTTATACCAATAACTTTAAATTTTATCAATTATAGTACTAAATTTTGATTTTCGTTTCAATTATACCATTAAACCGTTAAATCGCTAACGAAATGATGATGTGGCTGATTGTTTCCCACGTGACTGACACTTACGACGTGAACAACTCACCAAAACGACATCGTTTTGATCTGGATGTTAACGACTTAACAGCCCAATGGTATAATTGAATTGGAAATCAAAGTCCAGTGATATAATTGAAATTGAAAGTTCAATGGTATAAATGATACATTGACCAAAGTTCAGTGGTATCTGGTGTAGTTTACCATTATATTAATTATGAATTTAATTCAAGTACTGATTTTTTTCTTTAAAAATTTTATTTGTGAGAAGTTTTTCTTTAAAATTTTTGATCTTAATCTAGATAATAAAAGTATTAATATAATTAAATTATGATATTTTATAATAATCAAATTTAAAAATAATGATTAAATTGATAATTCATACAAATTATAAGAATTAACAGTAATTTTTTATATAATTAATAGTAAAATGTAATTTATAGTTTGGGGGTGGAAGTAATTTTGAGAATAATCTACGAGGGAAAGAAAATTTTGAAAAATATAGGTGTTTCAGAATTATTTTCGGATTTAAAACATTTGTTACATTGCACATGAAACTCGTTACCCCCACATGATGAGTTTTACAACATATATGAAAAAAAATTTAAAACTTATCATACGAAATGGAACAAAATTATGTGAAATTGATTACATCAACATGACGAGTTTTAATTTTTTAATATATTTTTTGGAACTCGTTACAACCACGTGATGAGTTTCACGTACATTATAGCAAATGTCTTAGATCCTAAAATAATTATCAAACACTCCTAATTTTCAAAAGAAATTTCCCACCTGGCTTATATAGCCAACGAATTCGTTTTGAGTGATTATAAGGTAATATCGGTTAATAATTTTCTTAATTTATTGAAAAAAAATATCTTTTACAAGTTTGCTCGAATTCAGAACCTTTAAAAATGATAACATTCTTTTTTACGACTAAATTCACTTGATGAATTCTAAAAGAATAAATACTTAATTGCAAAAAAAAAGTTAGATGCCAAACTTTTTATAAATGCTAAAGCTATAACCAAAAAGTTATATTCACCCACGTCGATATCATTCAATTTTTTTAAAAAATAATTAATTTTATCATTATATTTTTTTTATTTCACTCATGTTGGCCATTCCAAATTAAGTTCTAACATTGTTTTTTTTCCTTGATAAATTTATGTAAAAAATATATAAAAATAATATATCTCAATTTCACGTTAATTAAACAATGAAGATTATATCTTAAAGTATAATTCGGTGTTTAAAAAATTTTTCGCTGATAATACGTGTTTAATATTTTTTTTCATTATACTTCTTATGTGTCTACCTTTATATTTTTATTTTTTTTAATAATAAAAAAATTATTTTTTAAAGAAAAAGAAAAAAAATTAAAACCCTCTTGTTGTCCCTATCTCTCCCATCCTCCACTTCTAACGGTGAAGGGTCACCAACAGTTGGATTTTGTTCGAAACAGGACGAAGAACCCAATGATGACGGCCGTGTAACATACGGATGGCTGTAATTGTCAAAAATCGTCGGGAAAAAAACAAAAAAACTAGAAATCCAACAATCCTTCGCCGCGGTTTTCACAATGATCGACACAGTTTCACGATTGGTGAGATATTGGATTTTGATCGCGACGACGGGAAAATTTTGATAATGTCAACGATGACGACCATAGACCGAAGATGGCAAATCAACGACAAAAGACGTAAAATTTAGGAGTGTTTTGTTTTTTCAATTATAATTTAAAGTTTTTTTAAATAAAATAAATTTTGAAATTTTATATACGTGACACATGTCAGATAACGGATGTTAAGGTCCAGATACCTAAAAGTAGAACGTTATACACCTATCGTTAGTAAAAAAAAAATTTAGACACCAAATCGTATTTTGAAGTATATTTTAAGCTATAAAAAAAATGTATTAAACCTATATAAATCTATGCATCGACAATAAATCGAGCATGTAATTATATAAAGTGTCAAACCAATCTACCAAAGCTTCAATAATGCCCTGATTCACTAGACGATACGACGTTAACTAATTCAATTTGAAATGGATAATCTATGAAAATAAACATAAAATTCAATAACAAATTCGATATGTATAATCTCTGTAAATGGACAATTTTTTAATGTTTGAATTAAGCAAATACTAAACATATAAATCCGACAGTCGAATTAAGCAAATATTACTAAAATGTAAGACACTAATCATTGTCCAAGTTGATATCAAAATCTTTCAATGGCAATTTAAACAAAAAAATGGACATCAAGAGAGTACCTGCTTGAATGTGGAGGCTACAGTCAGCCAAAAACACGTTAATCCGATCAAAACCGAAGCCGATCGGCAATCAGTTCATCTTATATTGCGTATCGGCAACTCCTCTGATGTTGTACAAATCCAAATGAAACCAAGCAACCTATCAAATGGTGTTTTATGAACTTCAGTTCCCTATATCGAGATATAAAAACAATCTAGATCACTCGTTCATCTTAAAGTATGAATATCCGATACACGTCAACATGTTTCGAATATAGACGATACAGAAAGCATCTTATTATTCCATGTTATCTATGGCCCTTGACACCAGTGCCTCATTCACAAGACAGCAAAAGGAAAATGGCCTTGAGGATTTGAGTAACATGCTATGTTTACCCAAACTAGAAGAGTGTCGGATACCGGAATGTGTCCGACAAGACACACAATTCATGAACTGATATCATGTCCTACATATATCGAGTGTTGGTCAAATAATAGCAGCCGATGGCTGCTTGAATTTCGAAGGTGGGGGGCTGCCTTAAATTTCAAAGTTAGGCAGCGAATATTTTTGAATTTAAGCAAGGGTTAATTATAGTCATTAAACTTTAGGGTATTTTCAAAGATTAGTCCCTAAGTTTCAACTATAAATACCATAGCTCATTTAGCTTCAAAATCATCTCAAAATCATTTCTTTCTCCCATTACTAGAGAGCTTTCTTGTGAGTAGTGAGTATTTTGTAAACACCTGTAAATTTTCTCTTTTAGTAAATGATCTGCAGCAGTCCGGAGACGTAAGCAAGTTTGGCTGAACTCCGTTATCAATTTCGGGTATTATTTTTCCGCTTTTATTTCGCATTCTCACTAATCTGGTTATAGAGAAATTACTCATGTTACTCTGTTTATTTTCCAACAACTGGTAATCAAAGCTTTTGGTTGTGAATTTTGTCAATTTTTTGCAAAGTTACTATTTATTACTATTCACATGCATAGTGAATTTCGTGAATAGTAAAATTTTGTCGGTGATACGAATTTGTCGACGGAGGTGTTTTAATACACGGTGGTTCGCAAGAATTGTCAGAAACGATCCAAACGAAGCCAGATTCGAGTGGGAGCGATGGCTGCAGACGGAGAGAATGTGAAAATTGAAAAGTTCGATGGTGCGGACTTTGGCTTTTGAAAGATGCAGATTGAAGATTTTTTGTACCAGAAAAATCTATATCAACCTCTCTCAGGAAAACAACCAGAGGGCTTGAAGAATGAAGAATGGGCCCTTCTCGACAGACAAGCCCCCGGAGTTATCCGACTGACGTTATCCCGCAATGTTGCTTTCAACAAAGAAAGGAAAAGACCACGGCGGGTCTTATGGCGGCTCTCTCCAGTATGTATGAGAAGCCATCGGCCTCAAACAAAGTGCACTTGATGAGGCAATTATTCAATTTGCGGATGACGGAAGAGGCATCGATGGCACAACACCTAAATGAACTCAACACAATTACAACCCATTAGAGTTCAGTGGAAATTAATTTCGATGATGAAGTTCGAGCTTTAATTCTCTTATCATCTCTACCAGATAGTTGGAATGCTACTGTTACAGCAGTCAGTAGCTCTTAGGGAAACAACAAATTAAAATTCGACGATGTTAGGGATCTGGTACTGAGCGAAAAAATTTGAAAGAGAGAATCGGATGAAGCATCAACCTCCTCAGCCTTGCACACGGAGTCCAGAGGGAGAACTTCATAAAGAAATTCAAATCGTGAAAGATCCAAATCCAGAAAGAGAAAATCAAGAACATGAAATAAAAATTTTACCTGTTATAATTGTGGCAAGAATGGTCACTTTAAAAGAGATTGCCGAGCACCGAAGAAAAATACCGGCGCACAGAAATCTGCCAACGTGACAGAGGAGATGGGTGATGCCATGATTCTAAACGT